TCTAAACGAAAGGGCGAAAGCATACATATAACCATCGCGAACACGCGCGTCACAGTAACAATGAGGGATTTCCGATGCAACGCGCATTGGGTTGGAACATCTTGAATTTCATTATTTGTTCGTAATATCGAAACCCGACGCCGTGTATGATAGAGAACAAATCGACGTGTCATTATCAAGGTTACAACGTGGAAACGTGTTGAAGAAACCGTGAGAATTTGAGATATTATTAGATAAGATTGACTTTTATTTTTTATTAAAATTTTATAGGAATTTGCACTTCATCGATCGATTACTGCGATTTAGAAAATCAACATTTTTTAATAATATATGCAAAAACTTTATAGTTGATTTCATAAATATTATTCCCTAAGAATTAAGGATGTAAAATTGTGTTAATTTTTCCTCGATTACTTGTCTTTAGGGAATTTTCAGTGTGAGGAAAATCTTTGTATTTCACATAGATCAAAATAGAGTCGCAAGAAGACCCTTAAAAACATCTCTAAATGCAATCACGCTATTCATTTTTATTAAAATTCTATCTATGCTATTTTTCTCGGATTCTATCTGACTTGTATTATTGTCAAAATCAGAAAAATTGATCCTTGTTGAATAACAATTTTCGACTACCATTAATTTCCAAGAAAAAAAAAGATGGAGGTGAATGGTCTGACGCCCTATATATATGTAATTCTATTTTTTACACGTTGATTTGAATTCTGAAAAAGCACACAATTTTACAATCTTAATTTAACAATTGAAATTGTAAATTATAGCAAGTTTATATGAATCGCGAAAGATCCCGATTACTTTGGGTGGATAACGACCCTTTGCACTTGCCTTTCCGAGACATTGTCGTCATTGTTAAGTAAATCTCGCGTGTCAGGGCGCGCGACGCAGGGCGTAAGGGCGATAACGAGGTAAGTTAGGTTCCTGCCAGTCGTTGATTTAACGCCCGCATTTCCGTGGAGTCCCTCGACGGAAAACGACGATCGCAAAACGAATAATTCTCGCCGCGAGAACGAACGTTTGTCATTATTATCGAGGAGGACCTTTAATACGCGCCGCCTCGCGCGCGAGAACGAAAGTCAAAGACGAGAGGCGCGCGCGGTGAAACAACCGGGCGGGGACCCCTGGAGCTGTGGGTCCCATGGGCCCGACGCGGCCTTGGTGAGAAAAGGAATGCAAATGAAATTGACGATGCGAGATATTCCGGGTCCCTCTAATGCGCCTTGATGAATTCGAACACGAAAACACATATATCATAACTCGGTTCAGGAGGCACCGTGATCTACACAGCGTCTCGAGACTTCGATATTCCCCGCATATCCCACGCATATACGAGAAGTGCGTTTGCATAGCCTATTATTATTTCATGGATTAAGCAGATTAAAGATATTGTTAGGAACAAAAATAGTAATTATCGTAATTATATATTTTTTTCTTATAAGACATGTTCAAAAATATATAGTTATTTTTTTACACTTTTACGCGCAGAGGATGCGTTTTGACCGATATTAACAGCTTCACTTTCTGTATAAAGCCGTTTTCTGATATTCTCTTCATTTTAAATAACGTGCATGAAGCAATTACGAAGGCAAGAACGAAAGAACCCAGTTATAAAGGTGGGCACGTCGTCGGTTCGTGACCCCACTTTCGTTAACTGCTTTTAATTGCGCCGTAATCGAGATTAATGGAAAGGCATGCGGGCGCTCATGATATTTCTCTCGACGAATTAAAGTTGAAACGCGCGATGTACAGCAAAGAGACGCCGCCGATCTCTCTTGCGACACGCAACGCCGATTTTCAGAAAAAGAGAGTTATACAACGCGGTGTCAATTACTATTGTTCAACCGAGATATTCCAATTATATTTAAAAATGTCATTTATACGATGAGTCAAGAACTAATTTTTTGGCTATTAGATTTTTCTCTTTAAAAACTTTACGGACAACGTAAACTCTTTCTCTCTCTTATATTTGAGCAAATGATGCTAATAAAAAGATGAAAAGGATGTTTCTGCTATCTGAAGAATTAATAAAGTAAACACTAAACCATTACCCATGGATAATGGTTGGGTTCCCATTTAAGTGAATATTTACAATGGCTATAGCGCAGGCGTGCGAAGAACTTCCTCTCTGTTCTTAGGAGGGTTGAATAGCCTGCGCGGTAAATAGCTGATTATCTCAGCGTACCCAAAGCACGGAAAGCCAGGGGCTAACACCATCCTGCACTAGATGAAGTAATAATAGGGTACCTCGTTGGCATGCGGTGAGCATGCCGCACGGTTACAATGTATGCACGAGTAAACTTCTTCCTGTTCATCGATTATCGATTTTACGAATCGCGATTATGACTCGTCATAGCGGATTATGATACGATTTTATACGAAATACATGTTCTAATAACGATTTATAATTCTGAAAAAATCAATATAATAAATATACTTTATAGAAGAAAGGTTTAAATTAAAAATTAATTTGAATTATAAAGTAAAAATTTTATGTCGAACACTTTCATCACGTACTTAATTTTATAATTTTTGCTTTATTTAAGCTTAAAAAAATTCCAACATTTATATTATATTAAAAAGTTGCTTTATTAGAAGAAAATTATTATTATAATTAAATTCAAGCTTTTCAATTTATATATTCTGTAAATTTAATTTAATATTCTGTATATTTAAAAGAGAAATTATTTTGTTTTACTTTGCATTTCTTATTTCGCTCCAAATAGAATTACATAAAATGCGCTTGTATCATCGAGTCATGCATAAGTCTAACCTTCGCGGTTTCCCTCGGTGATTTTATGACGGTGGATGAGGAAGATCTTTCGGAGTAGTAGACCGTGAGACGATGGATGTGGTAGCTGGCACTATTCACTCAAGATAGTCGAGAATGTGTATCCACGCGTGCTCCAACATGCTCGCACGTTCCGTAAGAAACAGCTGAGTCTCGCGAGGACGAATGTTCCCTCGCGCGGAACATCCTTCGCGGAATTAATGGCCCAGGATCCTTGGTTTCAAGGACGCGAACGTTCGCACCGGACCGGCAGTTGAAGCGGACATTCCGCGCGGAGGTGCTTCGTTGCATTCCATCGATCAGTCCCATCGCGATAAATTTTGGTCTGCCACCTTGAAATCCACTCGAGGATACGCGCAAAAATTGATTTCGTCTTGGAAACTTCCGTAATTTTTGCATCATGGCGGTACAGATTTTTACACTCAAAAATTATGCATGGAAATTGTATTTCTAATAATCAGTTTCTAACAAATCAGTCCTTAAAAAAGGAAGGGATGATAGAAAATCAATAACAACGTCATAATTAATTTGCTTAATTATTTATACGTGTGATTTAGTCTTATTCATATTTTGAACTTTGTCTTAACGATAATATTTATTTAATGAATTTTAATATTCAATTGCGACAATTAAAATCAAAGTAACTGCAATTATAAACAATTTCTTTTAAACAAAAGAAATGTTTCAGAAGATTGTTGTATCTTGCGAGTAAATTATCGAAATCTGTCGGCAAAAATATTTAGTGCGTAGATGAAAGTTACAAGACAGAGTTAAGGGCGTAATAACAATAATCGTTTGTCGAATGAATAATTCATTATGCGGTTGGCCGACATTGTTGCGTTGTAGTCAGAAAAGTATCCGACTGTGCAGCGAACAATCGGTAGGCACGCACGCGTAATTAGATTCCTACAACCCCGCTGATCATTCCGTGAAAACTGAAGACCGGCGCCCGCGGCGCGATGGACGCCTACACGTGCACACGCACGTGCGTGCCTCTGCTGAGAAAACAGCTGAGAGAAGAAAAAGCGAGTCGATCGTGTCGGAGTTAGGCGAAAGAAAGAGAAAAAAATAACGTCTTATGGCGTATTAAAAAAAACATTAAAAGACATACAAAAAATACAATTCGAATAAAATCAAAATAAAAATTATATCCTATGAAATTATATAATCAAACAATTAAATCATAACTTATCTCGTTTTCAAGAAATTAAAAAAAAAGATTATAAAAGTTAATTTAGTTTCTAAAAAGAAGAAAACTCAAAACATTATTTTACAGAAGAATAATTTTCGATACTATTTGGTCTCACAATCTTACATCCAATCATGTAATTCTTTTTTTTGTCTATTTTAAAAAATCATAGTTACAAATAAATAACATTCTTAAGTGACAAATCAAATAAAAATTAAAGCTCTAATTCTTGATAACTCCATTAATCATTGATTTCGCGAAAGGATTACATGATCAATCACTTTTCTTTTCAAGACATTAAGACATAGCTTACATATATTACATCAGAAATTCCAAACGTCTCGCCATAACACATCACCTTTTGTTTACTTACAAAAACAACGTATTCAAAGGCATAGATAGCTCAGAGTTTAGATCCGAAATTTATGTATTATTTTATATAACTGAAGATGTGCAAGGAACAATTTACTTTAAAAAAAAGATTAAAAAGTAGATATTTTTAAATATATCTTTTCCTTTAAATTATTTCAATTTCACACGATTAAATGCTCTTTCTCCGCCTGTTCATAAATTTCGGATTTAAATTCTGAGCTATCTATGCCTTTGAATACGTTGTTTTTATAAGTAAACAAAAGGTGACGTGCTACGGCGAGACGTTTGGGAATCTCTGATGTAAACAATCGATGTTAGGAAGAAGCGGAGATAAGGATTCTCAATGAAGCGCACGAGCAGACCGAGTGGCGAAGTGGTGGGGGAAGCGATATAGCCGCGGCATGCGAGGGAGACAGGTCAGAAGCGAGACAGACACGACGCGCGACACTGCACGTCTCGGGAGCGACTGAGAGGGGGCTACTCCGTGACTGGCTCAGTTCGCGGCGGTAAGCGTGCCGAGCATGCGCACGTCGCTGTCGCGTCTCAGTCTCGCCGTGGCGGTCGCGGGAGTCGGTTCCTGCATTTCGTGGCGCTAATTCGATTTGAACGCATCGCTCGTGCGCGGTGCGTCGCGTCGCGTCGCGTCGCGTGGATTTTCGTTATTCCGCTGTTCGCGCGACGCAGCGTCCTCCGTTTCGCTTCGTTCAACGGCGGCCCGGTGGTGTTCCTTTCCCGCGATTCGTCTCCCATGCGCGACAGTTCCGGCACGTTCCGAGCGGAAATGAGACCGACCGAGAGTGTCATGCCGGAGGGCACTTCGTATGAGACTCTTCAACGTGCGCCGAGCTTGTGTGAATAGTGATCCGTGCGCGTGTCGGAATTTCGCGGGAACGTTCCTCGTCGAAGAGGCGCCCGTGGTTCCATGGCGACAATCAACAAGTGCGGCCGCTAACAGTTGAGTCCACGTGACACGTCGTAGATACACAACGCCGCAGCCCGCGCACGACCGTCGGCGTCTGGCTTTACGTATACAAAAAGAGCGTGTTACGAGGAACATAGAGAAATATCGCGGAGATTTCGTGCGGAAAATGCACGAAAATATCCAAATCCGAGTGACGCGGCCTAAACTGAAATGCAACCAACTTCTCGATTCAAACTGAACTGTCCGCAGTGATCACGCAGTGCTGCAAACTTCATGCCTCTGGTGCATACCGAACGGTGTTCCGACCGTTCGTACGACACGTTCGTTCGAGGGAAACGACGAAGTCGAGGCTGAAGAGACGTGACGTATCGCGTTGACTCGTCCGGGCAAAATCGTCATCGCGTCCTGTCGCTCGCGAATTTCGCGGAAGTGAAGCCGCAGGGCGTTTCGCGGAAAAGTGAAGCGCCGGAAACGCAACCCGGTTCGTGAGGAAGCGTGACCACGGTGATATAATCGCGGGATCGTGAAAGAAACGTGGTTTCTTGTGTTCGCCGCGTCGCGCGACGTTTGTACAAGTGAATTTTAAACTGTGCCTTGAACACGTGGATGTGTGTGCATGCCGCCGTTCCGACGCCCCGGCGCAATCCTCAACAGTCTTCAACGTCCGCTGCGGCTCCTCGGGTGAGTACCTTAATATCGAAAATTATCTATCGATGAAAATTCGATGCGGAAAATCATGGAGAAAAATCTCGATTCTAGAAAAATAAATGAATGGTGATATAACACTATATTGATCAATATCAACGAATATTTTCAAAACATTGAAATTAGCAATACAATACGTTACTCGTCTTCTGTTTACATACAAAAACAGTGTATTCGAAAGCATAAATAGCTCAAGTTTAAGTCCGAAATTTATCAATATGCAGAGAATAGAGCATTTATAATCATGTGAAATTAAAATAATTTAAGGGAAAATATATATTTAAAAGTAATAAAAATATGTACTTTTTAATTTTTTTAAATAAATTGTTTCTTGCGCGTCTACAATTATAAAAAATAATTAATAATTTTTGAACATGTCTTAATATCTTGGAAAAAAAAAGGATTGATCATACACTCGCGATCTGAATGGTTAATGGAAATTCTAAGAATTAAAGTTTTAAATTTTTATTTGATTTGTCATTTATATAATGTTATTTATTTGTAATCATGATTTTTAAAATAGATAAAAAAGTTGTTATGGGCTATGAACTTTTTATACTTTTGTCAACGTATTGATGTTTGATATATATCTTTAAAAACAATAATAATAAGCACCTAACACATTTTAAAATTTTAAATGGAATTTAATATTTTTAATTTATAATATCATAAAAGTAATCAGCGATGTTAAATTTTATTAGATTTATACACACATTTTCGAAGTATTGAAAATCTTGAATGTTACTTTAGTCTCATGGATCATTAATTCTCGATTAAGTAATTTGTTTGTATCATAACTGCTGACAGACTTCAAGATATTTTTTTTTTTAATTGAAATTTCTATTACGCGTTGAAATGTTCTTGATAGACACAAATGCAATTTATTACAGCAGCTATTTAAATATATATGTGCGCGAATAGTCGCCTACTACAGGATTATGACAACTAGTTAACGTTGCAGTCTGACAATAAAATTCGTAATTTAAACGCTCTGCTTTTTCTCTCTTTTGCTCGCTGTGACGTCAATCGAAAAGTCATTTATTATATGTAACAATCGATGAAAAAAATAATCATCCGAAAATAATCTAGATTAGATTAGAAGAAATTTATTAGATATAAATAATTTTGCTATTATTTATTACGCGATTGAAATTTATTAATTGGAATCGAAATAGTTGTATAATTACTTGTAAATCATGCAATCGATAAGAATATTTTTTCTCGGTCTATCATTGCGGATCATCGGATCTATCTGTATCATCTTGCTGTCGCGAGTTCGGTGACCAAAACGACAAGACAAGATTGTTGGTTCTGACACGGTTCTGATCGCTTGATCATCCAATTAAACGCGACAACCGATCGACGCGAATCGCACAAGCAATGTTACGGATTAAGTGATCGCATAACAAAAGGCGCGTTGTTTACAGAGCAAGGTAACTACTCTTACTAATCTAACTTAACCTGGGAAAATCCTGGAATTCTCAGAGAAAATTTATCTATGCCTTGATAAATTAGAGAATTCTCAGACAAGTTTAAAAATCAAGGAATTTTTTTAAAGTTGTTTTTCTAGTACTTTGTCTTTGTTATATGATAATCAGGATTTATCAACTAAATTGTTAACGGTGAACTCATTCACTCTAAACATCACAATATATTGATTTTATGACTAATCCAATATTTAATATTGAAGTTAATAATTTTGTGTTAAATACAATTTTATTTAATGGAGATGGATATTTATTTTAATAGTTTTATGTTAAAAGTAGAATTTTGTATCATTATGCAATTATATAATTTTTCGTTTGTAGTAAATTTGAAAGTAAATTTTGAAAATTTTATGTAATATAAAACATTCATTTTTTAAAATCCTGATAATTTCTTTCAAAAATTTTCAAATTTAATTATTAAAAAAATTCGAGTGATTAATTTTATTTTATAATTTATATACTTTTATGAATGGAAAATATTAAGGAAAACTTTGCACAATAAATATGTATTTAAATATGTATTTTTTAAGACACACTTAAAAAGTATTTTCATTTTTATCCGGAGTTTTTATAAATTGCTTTGAAAATTGAGAGGTTCTCGGAGAATTCTCAGAGAATTTTTTGGAGTAGACATCCTGACAGAGGCCGTACGTAGGGCGTATGTCCAGGGCATCCTACATCTCGGGATCAAATACGTTTGAGCGTCTCGATGCGAATACGGCAGTGATTAGTATTCGTTCAATTTATCGTAGTGACGATCGGTATCTGCCGTGCCGACGACTCGCTTGGCTGATGCGCGCCCATCCTTGAAGGCGAAATCCTGATTACGATTCCGCTCGATGCCGCGCGGTGACATCACCGTGAAATCATCATCCTCGTGGAATGTCCCGTTGATTAAATCTCCGCGTGTCTAGTGCCGCGCTATCTGCTTCAGGAAAACAATTTTTTTTTTTTTATACGTTTCCTCATTCGTTGATTTGGCGGACGAGGTAGTGAGAGGCAACACGTTTAGAGTATTCAGATGTGCGATTCTAATTTTCTAACTTTATTACAATAAATTTTAATACATAAATATCATACATTTTAATCTGTTTAATATTGCCGGAAATATTTAACGAAATAGAATTGATTTTAGATATCACATTGACTTAATTTGTTTATGATATCGCTTTAGGAGATATAGAAAATGAAGAAATTAGGTTAATGAGATCGAATGATATGACTGTAATCTTTTCATTCATCGCGCCTGGTAAGGCTCTGAATGAATATTGCTATACAAGCTGAAAATTATGAATGTCTTAAACGCGCATTAAAAGAAACGTGTTTATTTACGCTTACTTCATAATATCATCGTGGACGAACGAGCGGTAAGCGATCGCCATGCGTTGTTATTTCATATGTGATAGTACATATAGTATACAGCATAATGATGTGCGTTTCTCGGAATAATGACATAAATATTTTACATCACGTAGTACTTTTAATTCATGCCACAGCGCGCGATGATGGATGGGTGGGACTGACATTGTTACATATCGATACGTCATTTTGATATAATCAAATAATAAATAATATGACATTTGATTAATCTCGAAAATTATTATTACAAATGTAACAAGTATGCTAGAGTAAAAGAATTGCGTTTCTTATATCGAAAGATAGATTATTGAAAAATGTTTGGAAGACCAATTTATAAAATACAGCTCTTTCGTTAATATAAATTAAAAATATTAATGTATATTTTTATTTACATATAAAATAATCATGTTTCATATTATGCGTTGATAGTGAGAGCATTTTTATGTATGCAGTTACTACGATCGTACTTCCTGCTGGAATTGCAACGCGGCAATTTGCATAAAGCGAATAGTCATCGTGTCGGTCATAAATAGTCGTAATGCGATTGCGAAACTTAAAGCTCTTCGCGTTACGTCGACAATGGCAACACTCGGTTTCTTAATTCAAAGCGGGAGGGCAAGTTATTTCTACCGAGTGAATTGCAGCAGAAAAAGAGACGGAGACGGTTCTCTTTTTAAAACTTAAACTCTTTTACACAACACGATACTCGCGACAGGTTTTGTGAAATTTTGTTTTGATATTTTATTTTCCATTATTTATTGTTATCTTTGTAAGTGATACATTATTTATAAAGTTGAGAAAACTCGCCTGAAAAGAGATGTTAATTTTGTCAATCATTCAAGGGTCACATTTATCGATTATTACTGTAAATAAGAGCTACCTTATTCTATCAGTCAGAGAGTAAAGAGATGAGATATCATGCTGACGTGAATGACGTTTATCACATTTGATTAAATATATCACTGCTACTCCTTCTAAGAACGAAGAGAGACTCACATGGATATTTTTACTCTTTGCATGCATGTATGTGTGTTAATGTGTGTAGATGTCTATCAGCTGCGATAAGATCCCACCTTTTGGAAACTTATCGACGAATAATTTATCGTTTTAGACACGAAGCAAAACTTTTTCAACGATTATATAAGAAATATAGTGATAATTGATTCTTCATGGTCGTTGTTTAGCTCTAATCATTAATTATTAATACGCAGTGACCATTTTATGAAATTTATTATCGAGGGGTAACGATGCGTTCTTTCTTTGTTCGTTATGATGAGTGGACACGGGTTGTGACTCTTTTACCGTAACACACTTTCAATGGAACACGTGGTCAGCACATGTGGTTGCTCTTCCAAAAAGCTCCATACTTTATGATATGGTCCAATCATTAAGCGGAAGAACGTTCTTTGTTTTGATTACTTTTATAAACCGCAGCAAGCTGTTGATGACAGAAAACGGACGCAATTATTATCGGTCGAATTTATCAAGGCTACTCTGTTTTATTTCAAAGAATTATGATACAAAAAGTATCATAATTAATTGTTTGAAAAGAGATATTTTTAAATTTTTAATTCTTAAACCATTCTCGGAAGCGTGCAATATTGAATGTAGTGACTTTTGATCGCGTTACTTCTTTATAGGTATTATAAATAATAGACTTTCACAACTTTCATAGGAAATCTTTAATTTTATGTAATATCTTTCTTACATAAAAATAAAAAAAAAAAAACAAAAAAAAACAGAAAAAAGTAGCAAAAATAAATAATCTTCAGGTATGTCCAATGTACAGGATTAATTACGTTGTCGATGATCCTCTGACTTCTCTTCGCTTCCTTCTTGATCCTTCAACTTTTACGCGCCTTTGCGGAGTCACTCGTGTCCCCTGCATGATTTACATCCTGCATTTATGACGCAACGTAAAATCGCGCGAAACTTTCCGCGAGCCAACCCCAAGTGCTGCCGGGAGCGCTCTTCTCCTCGCGCGCCTTTAAATGCCTGTATATCTCGATGGGTGATGTGTGAAATATTTATGCGCGATCCGGGCTTTATTCCTCAGACACGAGTGCCGCAAGGAGCAGCGATAATACGTTTGTATCGTTGTGAGGAGGGAAATAGGAAAGCAGGAGTCGC